AGGGAAGACTTTGATAAGAAGGTGGTCTTACCAAATGTAATGATGCTGAAGAACAAAATACATAATGAAATGAAGTTGGGGAATATCTCTAGGTTTATATACACATGCCAACCCCTGTTTCTAAAACTCAAACAAACAAACAACAAAAAAACACAAACTTAAATAGCACCTTAAATGCATTGAATTAAATTGATTCAAATTTACACTTTCTTTTCTGTCTGGCTTTGTTTTGTACTTTGGGAAGCTCCTGCTTTCTTCCCCCATGTTGCTTTTTAAAAGTTTCTGCAGCAAACTGAGGGTTGCTTGAGGGGGGTGGGGTGGGGGGATGGGGTAACTGGGTGATGGACATTGGGGAGGGTATGTGTTGTAATGAGCAGTAGGTATTATATAAGACTGATAAATTACAGATCTGTACCCCTGAAACAAATAATACATTATATGTTAATTAAAAAAAATAAATTCTAAACCCAGAAAAAAAAAGTTTCTGTCAGCCAAAATCTATCCCTGTTCTTTTGTTATCCTTACATATGGGGAGAGGCACCTGTTTTGCATTTGCAGTTCATAGTCCTTTATGCCTTACAAATAAAATAACAAGTCAACACAATGTTTTTATATCACTTTTCAAATTAGAGTAAATTTTTCTTAACCAAAAACAAAAAAAAGCAAAAGTAAATCTACTTGTGAGAAAGCAATATAAAGAGAAATTTAGTAACCGACGTTATTCATCAAAGATTTCATAAATTTAAGTATACAATCATGGGCATTCTAATTTAGTCTTTTTTGCTCCTCCTTTACCACCCAAACTTTATGTCTTTGAGGTCACTAAAAGTGACATTTCAGGCTGTTGTGTCTGGTGGTCATGAAATTCATCTTGAAGTGTGTAAGAACTGTCTTATGAATTTACCCTTTCATTAGTTTAATATAAGAATGATTATCACTAGGTAAATTGTGACTTGACTTTCAAAAATATATCCTGAGGTGTCCTCAACAGTAGGCATCTCTCAAGAGGTTTTTTGTTGTTTTTTATGAAGTACTCTTTTATCAACCCCTCCCCCTATTTCCTACCCCATCCCCACTCCCAGCTCCAGGCAACTCAACCACTTTTCTTTTTTTTTTAAGACTCCACATATAAGTGATACCATGCAGTTTGTCTTTCTCCAACTGGCGTATTTCATTTCACGTAATACCCTCCAGGTTCATCCATGTTGTCACAAGTGACATGATTTCCTTCTTTTCTAAAGCTAAATACTTTTGCATTGTATATATATGACCACATTTTCTTGTTGTGAAGTAACAACACTTAAGTTGTCTCTATGCCTTGGCTATTGTGAATAATGTTGCAATGAATATGGGAGTACAGATAACTTTTCAAGATAATGGTTTCCAGTCTTCCCACCACCATTTATTGAAGAGACTGTCCCTTCACCATTGTATATTCATGGCTCTTTTGTCAAAAATCAGTTGACATATATGCATGAGCTTATTTGTGGGCTTTCTATTCTGTTCTACTGATCTATGTGTCTTCTTTTGTGTGCCAGTACCATACTGTTTTGATTATGATAGGTTTGTAATATACTTTGAAATCAAGAAATGTGATGCCTCCAGCTTTGTTCTTTTTCAAGTTTGCATGGGCTATTCAGTCTTTTTGGTTCTATATAGCATTTAGGATTGTTTTTTCTATTTCTGTGGAAAATGCCATTGAAATTTTGATAGGAATTGTATTAAATCTATGGATTGCTTTGGATAGTGTGGACATTTTTACAATAGAAATTCTTCTAATTCATGAACACAGTATTTTTTTTTTATTTATGTCTTTTTCAGTTTCTTTCATCAGTGTCTCATAGTTTTTACTATATAGATCTTTCACCTTCCTGGTTAAATTTATTCCTAAATATTTTATTCCTTTTGATGCTATTGTAAATGAGATTTTTTTTTAATTTCTCTTCCTGATAGTTTGTTGTTAATGTATAGAAACACAACTCATTTTTTGTATATTGATTTTGTATCCTGCAACTTTACTGAATTCAGTATTTTTAGTTCAGTGGTGTTTTGGTGGAGTCTTTAGGGTTTTCTATGTATCCTATCATGTCATCTGAAAATTGAAACATATTTACTTTGCAGTTTGGATGACTTTTATGTCTTTTTTTCTTGACTAATTAATCTGGTGCTTCCAGTACTATGTTGACTAAAGTCACAAGAATGGGCATCTTAAGATGTCCCTGATCTTACAGAAAAAGGTTTCAGCATATCACCATTGAGTATAATAGCTGAGGGCTTGTCCTATATGACCTTTGTTATGTTGGAGAACATTCCCTCCAAATCTATTTTGTTGAGAGTTCTCAAAAATATTCTGATGGCTAACACTATCTTAGACACTATAAGAGGTTGTGGATACGTAAAAATGGTAGTAATGGAGCTTTCATTTTAAGGAAAGTGCTAATTTTGACTTTAAAAACTACTAGACAGCCAGAATGTAGGGAAATGAATAGGCAATTGAGAAGAGAGGTGGGTCAAAAGAGGGTTTCAACCTCAAGGAGAAAAGAGGTAAGAGAAGCAGTTGAAAGGATTTTTTAAAAAAAAACACCTCATACTATTAAAAAAAAACAACTCATAAATGGTAGAGAGAAACAATTAAGTAATATAAAAGACCTGCTCACTGCCAGGATTTTTGACATATGCAACTCATCGCCAAGAACTGATATGACTTAATCCCCTAACACTTAGTAATTTTGGCATTGTCTTAGAGCATGGATTGTGGCATGGAGTTTACAGATCCATTTCTGCACTCGACAGGAATAAAAATTCAAAATTTCATTTTATGAACCACAAAGTATACCACATTTCCTGTATTTACAACTCATGAGTAAAATTTATTTTTAAGATTTTGGCCTATCACTGTATGTTGAGAGTCCATGTACATCGCAGCATTTACTGATAGTCTACATGTAAGTACCACACTAAAACTGGAACTTTAAGCTAAAGGTTCCTGAACATGAGTTGTAAACCAAATTTGAAGAAAATCAGGGATATACATTTTTGAGTAGGAAAGCATTCCTGGGCACGGGTAGATTGTGGCAAACACAAAGCTGGAGAAGTAGTAATAAGGGAATAAAAATGAATTGTATTGATTTAGTTAGTACCTGTCATTTGCTAGGAGATCATATAATCATCTTTGGAATGGCCTATTAACACAAATTTAATAGTAAATCTCCATTCCCCTGTTAAATGAGCCAGGACAAGTTTTGTTCATTATTATGTTCCTGTAAGAAAGGCTATAGGAATACTTTGATAGTTTAATGAATTTGTAAAAGTTGACCTAAGCACCAAGGGGTCTGGGTTGAAGAAAAATACTTTTTTTTTTTCCCTTTACAAGTTCCATGGTATAAAATGTGTACCCTGTTTTTAATGAACAAGCCTTCTTTTTAATCATCCTGACTGATTTATTTCTCATTATCAAAGTGGGCAACATACCATCTATATGTCATTCACATGAAATAACTATATGTACTCTGAATAAGATCTAGATGCAAAAGACCCGTGAGTGTACATTTATTCAAACGAAGGTGGAAGTCTTTAAAGCTATCCACCCAGGTATCTTATGTAATCTTCTATCAGGATTGTATCTCCATTTCAGTTTGTGTGACACTACCTGTTTTGAATAGGATAAAGACTCATAGTTACTGTCAGGTCTGTTTTCAAACTAAATATTCATCTAGTCCTTTGTGGCTGCCATTTTTATCACACTTTTAGAACAGCTTCCCTTTGCCGATCTGCCATCTTCCTGCAAATCTCTGTTTCCCTTGTATGATTTCTAGTGAGACAAGCTTAGACCTGGCTGCCTTTCTCTCAGTAACAGAGAAAAGAAACGTCTCTGGTGCCCATGCTGCAAAGAAAGTTGATTCATGTGTAAATTATCATTTGGCCTTTATTTGCTTGGCCTGTGGAGAGTACACATGCAGATAAAAGGTTCGGTGGGTCAGGGCTCAGTATGTGCAGGTTTCTCCAGTGGCTCCAGTGACAGCGTTAGAATTGTTGTCACAGATTATCAGACACGCTATGATGTCTTATCATTATTTATTTGCAGTTTTCTGTGTAAAATAAACTCTGACGCGGAAGACGCGTCTATAGTAATAGAACACCATGTACCCCTGTCCCCCGTTTGTTCTGTTAGCTCACATCCTAAATAAAAAAAACTGGTTTGTGTTTTCTTGAAGTTGGAACTGAGATCTTTATGTTTCTGGCTCCAGTCTATCTCCTTTTCCTTCTACCTCATGTTTTCCTTTCTTCAAACTTGAATGTTGTCCAGGTTGTTGGGAAGCATGGATAGTATCTTAGTAACACATCCTATTAATCCAGGTAGATGTAAAATGCTGTTGGGGTACGTCTAGCCACTTCTAGGCACTATGCAGAAACTGGATAGTTGCAGAAACTGCAAAATCTGTTCTCTGTGACTCAGTTGATTTCCTTTAAAATAAAATTGCTTACCATGCACTCATTATTATCTTCATTATTAAAGGAGGCAAACAAAGGTTTAGGGCTGCTTTTTTTTTTTTTAACCACGTGTCAACCCTCTAGATGTACAGCTAAAGTGAATTCATAAGGTAAATCCCTTTGTGTGTGTGCGTTTGTGTGTGTATAAAAAACACTAAGAAATGCATTAATAAATCCCAAAATGATATGATGCCTTCAGTCTACTCTTATTATGTACGTCTTATAATATGTGTCAGAAGGGTAGAGCTGAACATCTGTTTCTGCAGCTTTTATTTATTTGTGTAATTCATATTATGTATATATGTTGTCATGTTATGATCCATGTGATTTTTTAAAGCATGTTAGAAACCAAGAGAATATATTTTATAACACCTACCTTACTAAATTGATGTTTATCAGAACATTATTGATTCATAGCCCCTTTGGTAAGCTTTCCTCTATTACAGTAAAATTAAATGAGTTTTATTTTTTATTTTTTTTAAAAGATTTTTTGTTTATTTATTTGACAGAGAGAGACACAGCGAGAGAGGGAACACAAGCAGGGGGAGTGGAAGAGGGAAAAGCAGGCCTCCCACGGAGCAGGGATCCCGATGCGGGGCCCGATCCCAGGACCCCGGGACCATGACCTGAGCCAAAGGCAGACGCTCAACGGCTGAGCCACCCAGGCGCCCCTAAATGAGTTTTAAATAATGCAGTTAGCATTATAAAATACTGCCTTCATTTTTTTCAAAAAGTTATCTTCACTGTTGAAGAAATTATATCTGGAACCAAATTCCTTGTACTTGGACAAAAAGGTATAATTTTTCATTGCAACTTCTGCTATTCCATTAGGGAAACAACCCACAGTTTTGAGAACGCAGATAATTAACCAGAGGTAAATTACCTTTAGTTCCTTGTCACCAAGGCCTGAACAGCCGGGTGATCTCTCTCCTTCCTTCTCCTTTCACTTTCTGTTCCACTTTCCGTGACCAAAGCCCAGCTGAGCTATGGAAGGAGGACAGTCCCGCTCCATTGTTATAAATGCTCTTGGACAAGTTTTTCCTGGCTCAGTCTGTCCCACAGCCTCCCGTGCATGGAACAGGGGAGAGATGGGTGTATGTTAAGCCTACTTATCCCTCCCCCTTGACCAGTTAAAAATCACTTCTTGTTCTCTCCGAATTTTCTTTCTCATCTCCTTCTAAGCTGAAGTAATTCACTGAGTTTAGGCTTAATTGAAAATGAAAAGCCAAGAGCTTTCCTTTCAGGGGAAGGAGAACCACTGGTTCAGCTCCCTTACCCTTGTCCCAAATGGTAACTTTATAGAAAAGTGCATATTTTTAGCATATAAAAACTGTTTGGCACAGATACCCTAATTGTCTTATCACTTGTTTGACGACAGTGTTTATAGTTTTGTTTTAACCAGGAGAGAGAATGGAGAAAGCACAGTTGAGGAAAATAGAGGAGAGTGGCTGACAGAATAAGAGGATAGGGGTAAAACTCAAAAGATGACGTCATGGTGCATAGCCTTGCTGAATCTCATCTCTCCCCCATGATACACTATGAGGCTGTGCGAAAAGAGACAGTGATTATATCAAGAGCATTATCATCTCGGTGTTCCTGGCATGCACACAGAGTTATAAGGAAGTCATATAATTTTGTTTGTCGTTTGTATAATTGATGTCTTACCACAGATATTTAGTTAGGTGTGTATAAATACATTTCATGTATATGTGTATGGTATACTGCATACAAATATAACACTTGAGTGTAAGTATGAACAGTTGTGACAATTTTCCTAAGAATATATCGTATGCATCTGTGTTGAGATAGGCATGCTATAATTATGACAATTAAAGACATTTAAAGGTAGCAAACAGATTTGTTTTTATATATAATAATTTATTTACCCTGGTAGCTGAACTCAACACAGTATCTCCTTTTTAGCTTACTTTTATCCGTGAGGGGATAATGTGTTTAATTAAGCCCTCTTGTCTATAAGCAATAGAGATCCACTCAGCTACCTTGGATTGAATTTATAGTTTGTCTCCTGAAGAAGGTTCGTACAGAGAATATAAGAACTGAACTCTGGGGGCGCCTGGGTGGCTCAGTTGGTTAAGCGACTGCCTTCGGCTCAGGTCGTGATCCTGGAGTCCCGGGATCGAGTCCCGCATCGGGCTCCCTGCTCAGCAGGGAGTCTGCTTCTCCCTCTGACCCTCCTCCCTCTCATGCTCTCTGTCTCTCATTCTCTCTCTCTCAAATAAAAAAAAAAAAAAAAAAGAACTGAACTCTGTACTGAAATTGTAATTTAAGCCATTTGGACTTTTTAATGTTGTTCTAAAGTGAAAGGAACAGAATAAGAGTTATTGTGAAGGTACTCATTGTCTTGTCATTGGAAAGTCATTGACAATTAATACTGCTGTTCAAAGCTTCTACTCCTGCCACTTGTCTCTCATGAGACATGTATCTCTCTAGAGGAATCTGTTTCTCTCTGTCATGCCTCTAGTCACTATATATGGACCAGCTTTTTCCTCTTGCTTATTCTTTCTGCCCACTCAGAACTTTGGCAAATGAATAGCCTTTGGGTCTCTCCAGTTCTGACTTTACTTCAGCTGCAGGCCCCCCCCAATACCTTGGTTTCTTCCATTCAATTCTTAAGGAAATTATTATATTTTTTTTTTTTGCATCTCTTTGCTTCAGATCATAGATGATGGTCCTATCGATTGGCTGCACTTAGATCAGTATCCATCCCAGGCTCAGTCAGCTGTGGATGGAAGGTGCAGGGTTATATGGTAAAAAAAGACACCCCTTCTGCTGTCCTTTGAAACAGGTCTGTAATCAATTTAGTTTTACTACAAGGGGTGGTTGGTGAGCAGATACCATCACTGACACCTCTAGTATATGTGAGTGTGTGTGTATATATATGTCTATATACATATATATACATGTATATATATATATATATAACATGTGCTATATAGCACACAGGTTAACTCCCTGATATGGGGACTATGAGCCAAACTATTAACTGTTAACCAAACTATTAACATGATCCATTGCTTAAATGTCACTCCTCAAGGAAGTCTCAGGCTACACTCCCTGTATGCTCCTACCATATGGTCCCATAATACTCTGTATTTCATCACCATCATAAAACTCATCACTATTATTATAATTACTTAATGCCTCTCTCCTCTCACAAACTCTAAGTCTGTGAAAAGAGGAACCATATCTTTCCTGCTCACCATTCTGTCACCTGTATCTGGCCCAGTTCCTGGTTTATAACAGTATCCAAATGTTTAAGTTATTTGATTAATAAATGCCTTAAGTCTCTAGGAATCAAGAGGTTTAAATTAGAAGTTTAGTAATCATCCAAAAACCAACTCTTCTTCCTAAATGTCCCCCATTTCTGACAGTGACAATATCAGTATTTGTCACACAGGTATTGATTCATCCCTCTCTTCATCATCAAGGCAGTCAAGTTTTCTTGGTTCTTTCTTTCTCTTTCCTCTGTAATTTTTTCTCCATTGCCGTTGCCAGCTATCTCAGTCCAGGTCTTCTTCACCTCCACCTACCTGGTCTCCTGGGCTCTAAGTTCTCACCCTCTATATATCCTACATAGCTTCCTAAAAAGCAGCTTTTGACACCTCTTTCTCTGTGAGAAAAACTTTGTTGGCTCCGCTTCTGCCTAAAGAATGAAATCCAAATTCTTAAGTCCTTCGCTCTCTTGTTCTTGCTAAATCTCTAATTAGGTTTTCTACTACTGTCCTACCTGAACTCTTTCATTCTATCCAAATGAGTCTACCTCTTCTCTGCATCTGAGCATCTCCATCCACCCTTGTCTGCTTCTCTTCTTCCTTCCGCAGGACTTAACTATTACTCTTATTCTTTCAAAACCCACCTCAAGTTCTACTTTCTTCAGAAGGTTGTTCCTATTGCCCAAAAGTCCTCAGTAATCACTTCTTATTCTAAAGTTAAAGGACTTACTATCTCTGCCATTCAGCTGACCTTTACCATAGGCTACCTGACAATATTGGGGGTTTTTTTATATGTACAGTATGATAGTGAGGAGTGTGAACTGCAATCAGACTGCCTGGGTTCAAATCCTGCCTCCACAAGTTAACGTCTGGGTAAACTGAGCAAGTTGCCCAACCCCTATAAACTTGAGCTATGTCATCTCTAAAATGGGGATAACAGCACTTTCCTGTTGTGAGAGTTCAACATAGTAAATCATCTAAAGCATAGTGAATGTTCAATAAATGTTTTTTTACAAAATTATTTGCTCATTATTGATTAACTGGCTATTTTTAGGTACCTGTTATATGCTAGACACTGTCCTAGATAAAAATAGTATAAAGGGGTTAAGATAACAACCTCTGCTAGCAAGGAAGTCACTTCTCTCCTAACTCCCAATTAGACTCCAAGCCCCCCCTTGCAGTCACATTCACATAATCCATACATCCTTACTGATATTTGCTATCCTCAAAACCCTGTGCCAGGCACAGGGAATTTACAGGGAGGTATAACATAAAGTCCATGACATGTTAACTACACTGGAATTAAATTAAAAAATTAGAAGTCCATGACCTTCAAGACCATTATAACTAAAGCCCCTAGCATTGTGCTTTGCACATGGTGAGAACTCAATAAATGTTTATTGGCATCAAAGAGCATGGCAGTGATGATGAAGACTCTAGAGCACCACAATTTCTAGCCTCTTTTTAGAGCTGTTAACTTTATTTGGCTTCTTCTTGTCTTCATTTTCCACTGAATGAATGCCAGGAAGTCATTTTCAATTTTTTTCTGTCTGATCAAGGCTTAGATAATGTCTGCTTCTTTTGGTAGCTAAATATCCCCCAAACTCAGTTTCGTGCTTCAGTGAGAAGATATTATGGTATTGCCAATGGAAACCACTTCACATTTGGGCAACATCATGATGTCTAAGTGGCTCAGATTCAAGTTTCAGTATAGATTCTGGTTCCTGCACATTTGCTGTCAAAAACTACTTTATAGGAGCCAAACTGTGGAACCCTTCCAAGTGTTAGGCACTATTAGAAGTACCATTAAAGTATTGCAGAGCTTCAAAAGATTATGAAATTCTGATTTTTTAACATAATATGTTCTATGGTACTTCCATGAAATTTTAATGAGTCCCTTGTTTCTGTCATGGGGCTAAAAGCGATTAATAGCCCCCAGTTTTTGTACCATTACAGGTTTAGAGACAACTCTTGAGTTGAAACTACTAAAATAATTATATACTGTTTTTATACAACAGTGGATAGATAGAACAATTCTGGTTTTCAAATGTAACTGTGAAATAAAACTTCAAGAAAACATAGTTGTTTTTATTTATGCTGTACAGTTTAGTCCCCTCCCCAAACCCTGTCCCTCTTTACTTCCTTGGTCAGCCTTATACAGGCAATAAGACTTATACAAGATATAATGATTAAAGTGAGGATTTTATAATATAAAAAATTACTTAGAGGTAAAGATAATTGTCCACCACCCTATGGTATGATAGTTATATTAATTTAGCATAAAATTTATCTCTAGCTTCCTACAGTCAAGGAAAAGGAAATAATAACCGACAATATCTTCTTCACTAGAAAAGCTAAAGCATATACACTCTTCTGAAAAGATTGTTTCCTTGCAATAAATAACAAAGAAATCATCACATATTTACTTGTAAACGAGCAATTATTTATGGAATTATTTTAGTGTCTCCTTCCCCGATCAGATTGTAAACTCCCTGAAGTCAGTGAGCACATGTGTCTTGTTAATCCCCATGACTCCAACTCCTAGAAAAAATTGTTGGTTGAAATTGAAATGAAATGAAATCACGGGGATTCTTATCCAAGAAAGACTAACTAACATAATGGGCCATATCTTCCATGAATGTATTTATAGGAAGTCCAGTTAGCATTCCTTATACTGTTGATTTTTTAAAATATTTTATTTTCATTTTTTTCACTTTTTTGAGGTAGAGTTGACAAAATTCTAAGACACTTAAAGTGTACGTCATGATGATCTAATATACATATTGAAAAGGATTCCTCCCATCTAATTAACATACCCATCACCTTGAATATTTATCTTTTTTTGTGTGTGAGAATATTTAAGTTCTACTTTCAACAAATTTCATTTACGTAATGCATTCTTATTAACTATAGTTACCATGTTTTAGATCCTCAGACCTTATTTATCCTATAGTTGAAAGTTTGTATCCTTTTACCAACCTCTCCCTATTTCCCCCAACCCCAGCCCCTGGCAACCACGTTTTTCCTCTCTATTTCTAGGAGTTTGACTTTTTTTTTTTTAGATTCCACATATAAGTGATACCAGGCAGTATTTGTCTTTCTCTGTCTGCCTTATTTCACTTATCGTAATGCCCTCAGAGTCCGTTCATGTTGTTGCTAATGGCCAGATTTCCTTCTTTCTCATGGCTGAATGATATTCCCCTGTGTGTATATTTATATATCTTTATCTATTCATCCATTGATGGACACCTAGGTTATTTCCATATCTTGGCTATTGTGAACAGTGTTGCAGTGATCATGGGAGTGCAGATATCTCTTCGATATCCTGTTTTCATTTCCCTTGGATAGATACTTAGAATTGGGATTGCTGGATCACTTTGTAGTTCTATTTTTAATTTCTTGAGGACCTTCCATACAGTTTTCCATAGTGACTGTACCAATTTACATTCCTCCCAACAATACACAACGGTTCCCTTTTTCCCACATCCTGGCCAACACTTTTATCCATTGTCTTTTTGATGATAGTCATTCTAATAGGTGCAATGTATTATCTCATTGTGGTTTTGATTTGCATTTCCCTGTTGAGCACTTTTTCATAACCCCTAATTATCCACATATGTAATCTGCAAATATTTTCTCTCATTTCGTAGGTTGCCTTTTCATTTTATTGGTGGCTTGTCTGCTTGGTCTTGTTTTTTGTTTTTGTTTCTGTTTTTTTTGCTGTGCACATGTTTTCAATTTGATATGGTTGCACTTTTTTATTTTTGCTTTTGATACCTTTGCTTTGGTAAGGCAAAAAATCATTTGCCAAGACTGATGTCAAGGAGTTTACCCCCTATGTTTTCTTCCGGAAGTTTTACAGCTTCAGGTCTTATGTTCAAGTCTTTAATCCATTTTAAGTTGATTTTTGGGTTTGGTATAAGATAGGGGTCCAATTTCATTCTTTTGCATGTAGCTGTCGTTTCCCCAACACCATTTATTGAAGAGACTGTCTTTTCCCCACTGTATATTCTTGGTTCCTTTGTCGAAAATTTTCAACTAAATATGCATGGATTTATTTCTGGGTTCTCTGTTCTATTCTAATGATCTATGTATCTGTTACTATGCCAATACCATACTGTTTTGACTACTTTAAGTTTGTAATACAGTTTGAAATCAGGAAGTGTGATACCTCCAGCTTTGTTCATCTTTCTCAAGGTTGCTGTGGCTGTTCGGAATCTTTTATGGTTCCATACAAATTTTAGGATTGTTCTAGTTCTGTGAAAAATGCCATGGGAATTTTGATAGGAATTGCATTCAATCTGTAGATTGTTTGAAAAGTGTGAACAGTTTAACAATATTAATTCTTCAAATTCTCGAGCATGGAATATCTTTCCATTTACTTGTGTCTTCAATTTCTTTCATCAATGTCTTATTTTCAGTGTATAGTTCTTTTACCTCCTTGGTTAAATTTACTACTAAGTATTTTTGATGTGATTAAAAATAGGATTATTTCCTTAATTTCTCTTCCTGATACTGTTAACTTTTTTACTGATGACCAATAAAAGCCCAGGAGGAGAGAATGGAGAAAAAAATAAAATACAATAAAATAAATGCCTGTAAGATAACATTAAGACATGATTCAGTGATGAGGCTCATATAGAAGACTGCATTAATTTTTACCATAACTTACTATAACTTACTATAATCGAAGATGGCCATTCACCCTTCACAGAGAAAAAGTTATATGGATCTTCATGTTTATCTAATGTAGATAATAGCCATTTATTTACTAAAAATCTATGAAGAATTAAGAAGCATCATTTTAAAGAAAACAGTACACGTTGTATAGAAAATGTTACTGTTGTTTTTAGCAGAAGGGTCTCTATATTAGTTGACTTAGCTGAAGGTACAGTATAGTACAAATAGTCTCTCAACTTAATTAGAAGGTTTGTAATGCAATGTCATTTTCATTATAAGCAGAATTTATGCATCCAAATATAACTTCTCATATAACATTGAAATTTCATTTTAATGCCATTTACCATGAAGTACAACTTGGAATAAGACAGGTATGTCTTGGATTCCCTCCAAGGGGGCATTGGTACCATAATCTCAAGGATGGGCCCTGTGTCTTGTTTTCCTTTATATCCCTACTACCCATCAATGTCTGGCATATAGGCACTTAGAAAATGTTTGGACTAAACGATGGTATCAGTTTTTGTTTTGTTTTTGTTTCTGTTTTGTTTTACCATGTAAGTGATTATTAAAGGGCTTAAAGCTGCATGCCTGAACAAATTTCAAAAAATCTGCCATAGTGTTGTGGGTAGTGTTGGGTTTTCTTTTGGGGGGGGAAACAAAAGAAAAATGTGTAGGCTGTTGCATTTGTGTTTTGTTTCTTTTAAAATCTTTTTAAATGTGAAAATATGTTAAAGATGAAAATAATGAACAGTGTCTTATTTCTTCTTTTTACCATATTTTTCCAAAATAAATGTGAATAGTACATGACTCCTTAAAATTATTTCTGTGGAATAGAAATAGCTCCTTTTAGTGAGAGTCCTATTAATATCAAAGCCATAAAGAAGCAGCAAATTCCATTTTTAACCAAATACACAGTTAAAATTACGTTTCTTGTATTTCCAGAAGCTTTTAACAATCATATTTTTTATGATCATTTTACTCAAAGGATTGGGTTCCTGAGAATAGTAGACCTATCAGCAGATTAGAAGAAAAACTTGCTTTATCTTGTCATTTTAGTATTTGGAACCTAGCACCTATATTTTTTTGAAAAACATTGAAAGAATTTTTGAATTTTCTTAAATTTTTTTCATAATAGTATATTCTTTTCTCTGGAGAAGACAACATTTGAAGTTAAGTACTCATCTCAGAAAAATGTATTTCATTTTTAATTCAATTCAGCATTTACTGAGCTCTCAACTATTTCAGAAGACTTTACCAGTCAGTCGGTCAGTCAGTCAACAAATGTTTAGTACACACCTGGTATGTGCCAGACACTGTTCTAGGCACTGTGATGGGACACAGCAGCAGACACAGCAGAGTTCCCGACCTGAAGGAGATTACATTTTAGTCAGAGCTTATGGACAATTAACAAGCAAGCCAAAAAAAAAAAAAACCTAGTAAATAAACAAATAAATGATTTCAGTTGCTAGTTAAGTGTTGTGTTATGACAAACATTTAAGATGACAGTGGGTTGAAGAGTTGACTGGGCAGGAAGTGAGAGAGCAGTGTGACTCTCCTTGAGCTAATCGTTTTCCCCCTTTGAGGCTGCTTGGTCCTGTTACCACTACTGCCCATCATTGAACTACTTGAAAACAGCATGCTTTCTTTGTACCGCAGAGCAATATAACATCACCGACAGAGTCATTTTCTCTAGGAGAAGTGAGTGGAAATACACTAGTCCAACCACATTTCTTGCCCCTTCCCTTATTGCTCACTGGATGTAAAAGATGAAACTTCCCACCTGTTCATGTTTAAATGGATAAAAGAGAAAGCATTAAGTTTTCCATTGCCAGTAGATTATAACTGTAAATCTGTCCTGTAATTTGGTTCAAGTCAGTTTCTACTGTATATTTTTATACATGTATATACCTACATATATAGATGTATATAATATATACATATAATCACTTATATGAAAATGATATTAACTAAAAAACAAGCTCTTGGAATATATCTAGAGAGTAAAGAACATAAAAATCTAATATATCTGGTACGGAGGTTCCTCAAAGGTTAGAAATAGAACTACCTTATGATCCAGCAATGGCACTACTGGGTATTTACCCAAAAAATACAAGAACACTACTTCAGAGGGATACATGCAGCCCTATATTTATAGCAGCATTATTTACAATAATCAGGATATGAAAGCAACCCAAGTGTCCATTGACTGATGAATGGATAAAGAAGATGTGGCATATATATACAATGGAATATTTTTCAGCTATAAAAAGGAATGAAATCTTGCCATTTACACGACATGGATGGAGCTGGAGAGTATAATGCTAAGCAAAATAAGTCAGTCAGAGAAAGACAAATACCATATGATTTCACTCATGTGGGATTTAAGAAACAAAACAGGGCGCCTGGGTGACTCAGTCAGTTAAGCATCTGACTCTTGATTTTGGCTCAGGTCATGATCTCAGGGTCCTGAGATTGTCCCATGTCGGGCTCTGCAGACATGGAGCCTGCTTGGGATTCTTTTTCTCCCTCTCCCTCTCCCTCTGCCTCTCCCCTCCCCAGCTCATGCTCTCTCACTCTCACTCTCTCTCTCTCTCTCAAAAAAAATAAAAAATAAAGCAAACAAGCAAGGAAAAAAGAAATGAGAGAGACAAAGTAAGAAACAGACTCTTAATTACAGAGAACAAACTGATGGTTACCAGAGGGGAGGTGGGTAGGGGGATGGGTGAAACAGGTGATGGGGATTAAGGAGAGCACTTGTCGTGATGAGCATCGGGTGATGTATGGAAGTGATGAATCACTATATCATGCGCCTGAAACTAATATTACACTGCATGTTAACTAACTGGAATTAAAATACAAACTTTTTTAAAACCTTCATATCTGGGGGTGCCTGGGTGGGGCTCAGCAGTTAAGCGTCTGCCTTCGGCTCAGGTCATGATCTCAGGGTCCTGGGATCGAGCTCCGCATCGGGCTCCTTGCTCGGCGGGAAGCCTGCTTCTCCCTCTCCCACTCCCCCTGCTTGTGTTCCCTCTCTTGCTGTGTCTCTCTCTGTCAAATAAATAAATAAAATCTTAAAAAAAAAAAACAACTTCATATCTGAATCTTAGTTTTTCAGATTAGTATTTCCATTCAGTATTAATATTAGTGGAAATTATTATTTCCGTTTGGAGGGTGCTTTAGGATGTATAAAATACTTTCACATATTCATCTCATGGAGTCCTCAGGAACAATGATGTGAAATAGGTACTCTTATTAGCTTCATATATTATCTTCTATGTGAAGGAACTGAGGCTCAGCCTGGCGATTAGCACAGAACCATAAAGCCAGGAAGTGTTAGAACTAGGTGCCCAGGAGTTATGTCTCTGAGGCTGCTGTGCTTTCCAGTACACTCCAGCTACAAGTAGATACTTTCAAGAGGAAGCAGACACAAAAAATAGTCAGAAATTGGTAGGATTGTGATTCTGATGCTGTGGCTAACACATCCGTGAGAAGTAATCAACAGTGTCTTTTTTAACAACAGAAGGCTGCAGGGATAAGAACAGAAAAATGGATCTCAGATTCAGTCAGAAAACTAATCAATGATTTTTAAAAGCAAAGTTTCTAAACAGCAAAGTGGCTATGATAAAAGTTTTGCAGTTATCAAGGAGGGACAGATTTTTTTCTTTTGGTTCTCATGCCAAGAGCATGTTCAAGTAATTCTGTGAACAAATAGGCATTAGCAGTTCAATAGGTAGTAAAGATAAGTAATAAATTTGGGGAAACATGAGGATGCTAAAAGGAATGAGGAAAATACAATAGAAATATAATGATAACAAAGAAAGGAAAAATACATTTCTCATGAGATGTTCCAACAACTGGGCATTTCTAAAGTAGAAAGTACATTTCTGTGCTCTCTTGGGAAAGGAAAGATGGACACAAAGAAAGGAAGGTATTTCAAGCGAAGAATTACAGGCACCACAGCAAATGCTTCCCCAGCACTCGCCGTTACTGGCTGGCGTATTATTAGTGACTGAATGAACACAGAAAAAACAACAGGCTTCACCACAGGAGGAGATCTTCAGATTTGCGCTCTTACACTAGGCCCTTGCTGTGGTCACCATAAACTCTCTTCTGGTGGACCTCTGGGGAACTAATGCCAAAAAGCATTTCAAGGAGGTCACTACCATAGAAAACTATTCCAAAGCATTAGTTTTCTTTTTTTTTTTTTTCTGTTTTCTAATTTTCTGAGTACCACTAGATTATACGCTTTTCAAGAACAAAAATAAATGTCTCATTCACACCTAGCACAGTGCTTAGCATATAGGAGCAACTCAGTAAATGTTTATTGAACTCAACTAAAGTATTCTAAAATGCAAAATCAGGGGACCCTGTCTGAATCACTCATTCATTCAGATACTCAACCAAAGCCAAAAACCTAAGTTTGAGTCTAGACACTGCCACTTGCCAATTCGGTGACTTTGGGCAGTTCACAATGGTAACCTCTCCAAGCCTTAGTTTCCAGGTCCATGATTTAGAGAGAACAGTTTCTGTCCTACTAACCCCATTCGTTTATTAGAAGTATAGAATCTGAGAGTACATGTGAAGATAAACCAGAAGTTACCACATGCTATACAAAAAAATGTCTTTTTCTGTGGAAACAATAGTGCCAAAATGCCCGGGTGGTCAGCAGGTTTCTTGGTCAAACCTAAATGTTGGGTTCCAGAAAGGTAAGCAGGCTTCTTATGAGCAGGTCTTCTCAATATCTTTCACTTAGAAGTTAGTATTGTGAAAGTAGGAGAACAGGCTAAAATGGGAATGAATGTCTTTTTTTCTATATAAAAGAAAGCCCCCAGTTCATATAGGTTGTACCAAAATATTCCAATACCAGTCACCCTCATTTTTCAAGCAGGACCATGTGGCAGGTACTACGCTTGCACTTTATGTATGTCATCTTCAGTGCTCATCACAAATCGAGAAGTAGGCATTATTGCTGGTAGTCCCATTCATACAGATGAAAGAGAGAAAGAAAGATTACAGAACTTGCCCAGGGTTACAGCTAGTAAATAGCATTTTACAGTTAAGGAAATAAGCACTGAGAAACAAGTGACTTAAAATAGTATTTGCTCTTTCTTTTCTCTCCTTTTTTTTTCCAACCTGCTACAACTCTCGCTGATACCTGTATTTCCTCTAGACCAGAATTTTCCAAAGTGTGTTTTGTTAAATAGAAGTCCAGAAAACTGTCCCAAGAAAACTCATTGGCCAAATATGTTTGGGAGATAGTGCACATTGAAATCCTCCCTTGTGGGGTGCCTGGCTGGCTCAGTCAGTGAAGCGTGCAACTCTTGAACTTGGGATGTGAGTTCAAGCCCCAGGTTGGGTGTACAGATTACTTAAAAATAAAATCTTTAAAAAAATAACAAAAAAGAAAAAGAAATCCTCCCTTCCTTGTGTCACAGTGCACATTAGCACACTGATACCTCCAAGAAAGGCTACAATAAGGAGCTTTCCTTTGAACATAACCTTGAATCAACAGCTGTTAGTATCCCACAAAGCCAGAGGTCCACAGAATAAACTTTAAGAAAAGTTAAATGTTGAATAAGCTAAACAGTAAATGCAGTAATCATTATGCCAATCATTATGCCATTGTGCCAATAGACATGGAACACAATCCTCTCCATAAAATATATGTAAAATTATTGGAAATATACAATCTGATAATATTCCTAAATATGTTCAACCAACTTCCTAGAGATTCTTCAAAATAATTTTTTCCTAACTCTGACAGCAACTGATATTGTAACAAAAGATGACAGAAATTCAGGTCATTTTTTCATGTAAAAAACTGTACTGTAAAACATAAATGATTGAATGTATTTTTTGGTACTGAAAATTATCCTGATTATTAAATATTAGTTTAAATTGGTAATTTTAAACCAATGTAATAAACATTTCTACTTGGAGGAGAGGCCAATGATAGTCAAAACTGCTTCTTTCCATTTCCTCCTCTAAAACCAGGAGAAAAATGAAGAACATTAATTCATTTAGTCCTATCAGACTAGGATTCTCCAATTACTTAAGAGTTATTTAAAAATTCTTTTGAGTGAGGCTACTTTGGTCCCAGACTATATTTGAACTTCAAATACTTTTTGAATCAACTCAAATAAAAAATACTACATTTTCTTCCTTTATTCTTAGAAAACATTAGGTACATTGCCTATTTTTGTTACTTCATTGTCGTATATTTTGTTAAAATGTCAGAGTTTAAATTATTATTATATGCCCATTAGTTCTGCTGCCTTGGGATGTAATGACTCATATTAGCAGTCTATTTAATAAAAAGGGTTGGTGAATTTTTACTGAACTGTCCTTTTGGGACTATAATTTTTAACATTCTCTGGAAGCTTTGCAAATCCTTTAGTGATAAAGTGCTCTTACAGTACTGTCTTTATCATTGACAAGTTGTTAAGAACCAGAACTGTCTATTACCTGTAAATGTTGAACATAACACCATGTTGATCTGACAAGTTCCTTACTTGGAGAGTCACCAAGAATACATGATTAGAATGTCACCATCTTATAAGCAAATAAGGTGATTTTGTAATCTTATTAGCAGTAATTTTAGACTGTTCTCTGCAATTTAGTAGATGAGTTCATCTTTTTGAGGTAGAGTTACCCAACACCATCCAATTAATATAGACATATTCTTTTGCTAAATTTTAAATCATTGCAGACTGTGGAAGAAGAGGAAAGACTGGTGTAGACTAATGAGCTATAATCTATCTCCATAGATTTTTTTACCTGTTCTTAAACTTTACATAAATGCCATTTAGAGCATATACTTTTTTTGTGTTTGGCTTCTTTTACCTGAGATTCATCCAAATTGTTATATGTATCACTAGGTCATTCTTTTTAATTACTAAGTAGTATCCATTTTATGAATATATTACAATTTTTATATCCATTTCCTATTGATGGACAGCTGGACTCTGTCTGATTTTTGGCTATTATGAATAAAGCTTCTATGAACATTTTCTTACATGCCTTTTTGTAGACATTTGTTTTCTTATCTGTTTGTTTTCTTATCTATTTCTTATCTTTTGGACCAATAGCTAATAGCTAAGTCATGATGTAGATATATATACATTTTATTAAAATCTGCCAAATATTTTTACCGAAGTGATTGTACCATGTTATACTCCTATTAGAGTTCTAATTGAGTTGCTGCACATCCTCACCAACATTTGTGTTGTAGCCTTTTTAATTTGAATTTGAATTGGAGTAACTAGCCCATTTAAATTTCATGTAGTTATTAATATATTGTTTATGTCTCCCCCATTTGTCCAGGTTTTCTTGTTCTTTTTTTTTTTGTATTTTAATTGTTCTAAAAGTCATTTTAGTATGCATTTTTGTGTTATTTTTTAATGGTTGCTCTAGAGATTAAGGGTTGATCTGTGCATCCTTACCATAGTCTACTTAGATTTAATATTGTACATTTTCATATAAAATGTAAGGAGCTTACAACATTGTATTTCCATTTATCCTTCTATCCTTTTATTATTGTTGTCATATATTTTATTTTACTTTAAAGTTTTATTTATTTAAGTAATCTCTACACCAAATGCGGGGTTCAAACTCACGACCCTGAGATCAAGAGTCACGTGCCCCTGTTGGCATATATTTTATATCCATGTACCCTAAAACCACAAAATACATTGTTATAATTTTTGCATTAAAGATTCTGTCATAAAAATAAATAAATAAATAAATAAGTAAATAAATATTCTAATGTATTCTTCTAAATTAATGGAAGAAAAAATGGTATTTATTTTTGCCCTTATGTTTACCATTTCCATTACTGGGCATATCTTGTAGATTGAAGTTTTATCTGGTATTATTTCCCTCCAGCCTAAAGAATTTCCTCTGGCATGTATGTCTTCTAGTGCAGGTCTGCTGACCACAAATTCTCCCTTTTGATCACTTACCTGAAAATGTCTTTATTTTGCCTTTTTTAATATTTTAATTCCAGCATAGTTAACATTATTTCACTTTAATTTTTTTAATAGTTGTGAAAGGTTTTATTTTTTTTTATTATATTCAGTTAGCCACTGTATAGTACATCATTAGTTTTTGATGTAGCGTTCAATGAATCATTAGTTGCATATAACACCCAGTGCTCATCACCACGTGTGCCCTCCTTAATACCCATCATTAACCTATCCCCCACCCCCCTCCCCTCTGAAACCTTCAGTTTGTTTCCTGGAGTCCATAGTCTCTCATGGTTCAACTCCCTCTCTGATTTCTCCCACTTCAGTTTTCCCTCCATTCCCCTGTGGTCCTCCGTGCTATTCCTTATGTTCCACAAACGAGTGAAACCATATGATAATTGTCTTTCTCTGCTTGATCACTTAATTAAGAGGTATTTTCCTGTTTGGAAATAGAGTTCTGGGTTGATGAGGGGTTTTTTGTTGTTGTTTTTGTTTGTTTTTTGTTTTTCAATTTTTTTAAGTTGTCATTTCATTGCCTTCTGACCTCCATTGTTAGTGATGAGAAATCAACAGTCCTCTGTATCATTATTCTGCTGTATGTATTATGTCTTTTTTACCCCTGCTACTTTCAAGGTTTTTTTATCTTTGAGTTGTAGTAGTCTTACTATGATGTGTCCATGTGGTTTTATTTTTATTCATCCTATTCATTATTTGTTGGACTTCTTTGATTCATAAGTTAATTTTTTTTACCTAATTTGGAATTCATGGGTATTAATTCAAATGTTTTTCCTTCCCTAGTCCCTTTTTCCTTCTCCTCTGGGACTCCAGTTACACAAAAATTAAGTGGCTTTATGTTGTCTCACAGGTCACTCAGGCTTTGTTTCTTTTTTTTTTTTTTTCCAGCAATCTTTTTTCTTTCTGTTCTTTGGCTTGGATGATTCCTGTTGATGAGTTTTCAAGTTCACTGAAGCTTTCTTCTGCTTTCTCCAGTTGGGTATTCGTCCATCCAGTGAATTTTCCTTTCAGATATTATACTTTACAGTTCTAGTATTTTCACTTGGCTTTTGCTTTAAGGTTTTGATTTGTCTGTTAAAATATCTTTCACTTATTAGAGCCACTTCTTTAAGTTCTTGAACATATTTATAATAGTTGCTTTGAAGTTTTGGTTTGCTAATTCCAATGTCTGGGTCATCTTTAAATCCATTTCTATTGTTTTGTCCCACCACCCCCATCCCTTCACTTCAGATCACAGTTTACTCTTTTTTTTTTTCTTGCATATCGAGTAAGTTTTTATTATATGGACATTATGGTGGCGAGTTGTTGAGTTTTTGGATTCTGTCAATGACCTTGAATTTCTTCAGATGTGTTTTGTACTTTGTTATGGTGAGTTTTTCATTTGGTTTTAGAATAAACCCTTAGACCTGGCACATTATCTTTACTCTTTCTGGGTTTCATAGTGGAAAGACCAAGGTGTTAATCCAGCCTCTCTAATTTGACAAGACTCAAACTCTAAACTTTCTCTTTCATGATGTGCAACAACTTAAAACTCTAAACTTTCTCTTTCATGGTGTGCAACAGCTTATTTAACTTTCCAGTTGTAGCCCTTCTACCAGCTCCTTGGAATCTTCTCCTGCAACACAGTTCAGAATTCAACTAAAAACCTGAAAGCAGTTTGTACCCAGATTTCAAATTTCCCCCTCTGGTTGGCTCCTTCTTTTTACCCCCCAGGAATTTCCCTTCCTAGTTTCCGGCTGTTCTGGTATCCCCCAACACCATCTTTGGACACTTCAAGCCAATGACTGCAGCCTTTTGCTTGGATTCTAACCACCCTATACCTTACAGAAAGAATTCTTTTGGGTGAAGGGCTACCCAACTATTTGAAAGGTTTAATCTCCTTCAGTTTCTATCTGCTTTAGGTTATTCTTCAGTGCCATCAAATAGCTGTATGTTATATACTGTCCAGAGTTTATCATTGTTACCAGTGGTTAACTGATAACTAGAACAAGAACACTCAGTATAATACATTTTAATGTATTTATTTTGAAATATGATTAATTTTATATTCTTAAAGTAATGCATTTTGTAAACAAATATGTATGCTTATGTATAGAAAAAAATGTCTGAAATAATATATTCCAGTTTGTTGTTTCTGGTTGGTAGGATTACTGGTGATTTCCATTTTTCTTTTTTTTTTTTTTCTTTTTACTCATTTGTGTTTTCTACTTTTTATTACAACAAACATCGGTTAAACAGTAAAATCCTTTCTTGCTCTCCTAAGCAAATGGTTTATTTATCATTACTCTTTATAATATTTATCATGATTATTTATGATCTTTGATACATTTAATATTATGATTTCACTAGATTAAGTGTCTAAAATCCTAGCAGTATATCTGTATGGCAAACATTTCTTTTTCTGCTTTTAAAAATAGAGAAATTAGGACAAATCAAAGTTAAATGGCTTATCTAGAATTTCATGCATATTGATAGAGTAGCCAGAAATAGATCTTAAATTTTAAGTCCCTCAGTTCAGCTGTGTAAACTATTTCTAGGCCATTAGCAACAATGTATGCAGTTAATTCTGTATTTTCTAGTGGGTATGGAAGAAAATTGTCATAGTTGAATATAAGCCTCAAATATTTTAGAAACTTGACTTTAGTCACTGATTTCAGTCTTCCCTTCATCGAATAAATATTTTACTCTAATTCCTAGCAAATAGAATACTTGATTGATTTTTAAATTTTAATTCAGATAACCTTCCAAGAGCTAACAAGAAAATCCCAGGAAGGCATGCCTTGAAATAGGAATTTTCTTCTTTCTGAATTGCAAGCTTCTTTATAAAATAGAGTCAAATGGATATTTGTTACTCACTGATAGATATATAACCTTCAACAGGAATATTTTAATCATATTCGTATGTTTTTATGCAGATAATTGACTAAAACTATCATAGATCTTAGTGATAGATTTAGTGTTGTCATTCTGAAGTTTCAAATTGAAACCAAATGAAACTATCTTTTTAAACATCTATAAAAATGGATGGAAATAAAAGGAAATAATTATTAAACCTCATAGTTTTCATTCTGTGATCCTGGACTAGATTCTGTACTAGACAGTAAAAACACTGTATGGACAACTGGCAAAATTGGCAAACAAATGGTAGAGTTTTTAAAAAAGTATCCTATCAATGTAAAATCTGAATTTTATAGCTGTAGTTACATAGCAGAATTTCATTGTTGGTAGGAAATACATACTAAAGGGCATGATATTTGCAACCTACTCTCAAATAGTTCAGAAAAAAATATTTGTGTATACGCATATGTATGTATGTACACAAAGTGAAAGAGTAAATAATAAAACAAATATGACAAATTGTTTTTAAAAACTGAAAATCTGGGTTGAAGATATTTAGAAGTCAACTATATTATTATTTTGTGACTTTTTTGTGAGTCTGAAGTTATTTTTAAAATAAAATTTATTTTTAAATTTAATAATTCTGAGTTCTAGGAATACTTTCACATCAGTGCTTTTCATTTCTCAATATAAAGCATCAGAATCACATCACTATACACAATTTATCACTAAATTTTATGTTTTTTAAAGATTTTATTTATTTATTCATGAGAGACAGAGAGAGAGAGAGAGAGGCAGAGGGAGAAGCAGGCTCCCAAGGAGCAGGGAGCCCGATGTGGGACTCGATCCCAGGACCCTGGGATCATGACCTGAGCCGAAGGCAGACGCTTAACCATCTGAGCCACCCAGGCGCCCAAATTTTATGTTTTTTAATAAAAGAAAATTTGGAACTTGAAATGCTGACCAAAAGAATATCTTCATGTTTGAATTTACTTGCAAAAATTGTGATGAACTTAGGTAAGTAGAAATAAAGAAAAAATACTGACTGAACAGAATAATTTTTATTAAGAATGACATAGTTACAAATGAATTTTATTCCCAAAGTTGTTTTAAATGATAATTGTTCATAAAAATATCCACTCAAATTGTGTATGTTTTCCTCCATATGTAACACTGTAATTAAGCATCTGTCAACATTTCTAGTGGTTTTAAATTTGTATAGTCTTGTTCTGGGGCCTAAAACTTCACTACTTAAGTGGTTTAACCAGAGACTTCATTAAAAAGCAAGATTTTTTTTTTGATAGGCTATTGAATAATACAAGAATGACTGTCACTATATAGATTAAGAAATATAAAGATTCTTATTTTTTCCCCTTGTGAAAATCTAAAATAGTTTTAATCCACAAGTTTTAATTTGCCTTGTAAGATTATTCCAGTCACTTTTAG